CACTGTACATAGTCCCATTGTCATATTCACACCTGGGTGTAAATCAGGTGTACCTCTAATTAAGTCAGTGGAATTTCACCAACTTGAAACTGGTGTGAGACAGCGCAACTCATTGAATTATTTAAATGCAGGTAAAGAAAATGTTTGTGTTTCAGTGCTAGCTACTCTAAGGCCCTGATTCTACAAAAACTTATGCACATGCTTAACTGTAAGCATGTGAGTAGACTCATTGGCATCAACAAGCTCACCCGTGGGCTTGAAGTTAAACACAAGCATAACTCTTTGCGGGCCTAAATATGTGTTGCTCACCATAAATAAAACAAGGGACCTGATTCACTGCAAGATAAGTTTCAAGGGAGGTATGTGGACATGAAATTGAATTAGTGCAGTGGTGACTCAAGCCTAAATGTTTTCCAGCATTTTACACTGTACAATGACTTTCAAGGCATTGTCGGAGAAAAGTCCAATGTGAATGTGTGTGACAGACCGAGTCAGTTAATATGAATATTTGTAAAGCAGAGGCTCTGCAAGAGACATTCCCCAATAGATACCGAGTAACATTTTCAAAAGTATCTGAGTGACTTTGGAGCATGTCCCATTTTCAAAGTAGTCAGCAATTAGGAACTTATCACATTGAAAAATCACTGGAACTTATACATCTATGTCACTTTTGAAGATGGACTTGGGTACTTTTGAAAATTGTACCCACAGATCCTTGGGAAGGTATCTTACTGTCACACTGGTTCATCCTCATTCTAGTTCTTGGGTTTGAGAGTGTTCACATATGTAGTAAAGAAGAATAAATTCCCTCCAATGTAGGAATTACTGGGTGAAATGCGGTGGCTTGTATTATGCAGGCAGTCAGAACAGATGATCACAGCGTGCCTTCCTGGCCTGAAAACCTGATTAAACAAATTCTCAAGTGGTGTATGTCAGCAGAGCTTCACGAAAGTCAATGGAGCTACACTGATTTACACCACCTGAGGACTTGTTTAATAGGTTTCAGGCCAGGAAGGATCACTATGATCATTGGAACTATGTTGATTTACACCAGCTGAGGATCTGGCCCTATGAATCTATTAGTGCCTATGGAAGGAGAGGAATGTCTTCAGTAAATATTTAAACCTTCAGGAGAACAATTCCAGACCAGGAATCACCACTCGGTTTTCAGAGCTCAATTCTGTGTGTTTCAGAAGGGATGAAGGTTGCATCTAATCTCTCAGCACCTGCTGTTGTTTTAGCTCTACGAGCACAGAGAGGCAGAATCGGTGAACCTACTTCTGCTGACAAAAAAAAAAAACCACACCTCAAAAATCTTTGAAAATAAGAGCTGAGCCATTCTCCCTCTCAGTGACTTTGTGGTTTTTCCAAAGGAAATACGTGATGCAGACGCTTGACTACTTGAAGAGGATATGTTGTGTGCCTTATTGAAAAGCAAGGAAGTGGGATTCCGGCTGCTGCTCTATTGAGTAGAAGGATCACATCACTCTTGTGGGCAGAAGTTAAAACACCCATTGATTGTGGGTAATTTCAATGCTCCACCAATTCCCACTAAACCCTGTGAGAAACAGCCAACAAAAGCTTCTCTCTTAACCATTTGACTTCTGTTGAATGTAACACAGGAATGGAAGGGACCTTGTTAATGGAGTCCAGTCCCCTGCTAAGGCAGACAACTCTATCATGTAGTCCTGTTCACATATTCATCAAGCTCCCTCTTAAAATTAGTTTGATTGTTTGCCCCCACTACTCTATTGGGAGGCTGTTCCAGAACCTCACTCCTCTGATGGTTAGAAACCTTCTTCTAATTTCCAGCCTAAATTTATTCATGGTCCCTTTATATCCATTTGTTCTTCTACCAACATTGTCCTTTCATTTAAATAGCTCTTCTCCTTCCCTAGGGTTTGCCCTCTTTGTGTATTTACAGAGAGCAATCATATCTCCTCTCAGCCTTCCTTTAGCTAGGCTAAACAAGCCAGGCTCGCTAAGGGTATATCTGCGCTTTCAGCTGGGGGTGTGATTCCCATCTGGAGGAGACATACTTGCGCTAGCTCTGATGGAGCTAGTGCGCTCCAAGTAGAGTGTAGCTGTAGCAGTGCAAGCGGCAGGATGGGCTAGCTGCCCCGAGTATGTTCCTAGGGTCTCTGACAGGTCTCTCACAGCCCCTCTCACAGCTACATTCTATTTTTTGCGTTCTACTCAATGAGAGCCAGCACGAGTATGTCTACTCGAGCTGGGAATTACCCCCTGCCCCCAGCTTGAAGTGTAGCCATACCTTTAATCTCTTCTGGTAAAATAGGTGTTCTATTCCCCTGAGCATCCTAGTAGCCCTTCTGTGCACCTGTTCCAGTTTGAACTCATCTCTCTTGAACGTGGGTATCAGGTACATGGAGTAAATGGAGGTAGCACAATACAGCACAGTAGGTGAAGTGGAAGAGACACAGTGAAGAGATTCAAGCAATGGGTTCTACAGACTGGGTCTCTGTGACCCTATAAGAGGGTTCAAAAAAGAACTAGATGAGTTCATGGAGGATAGGTCCACCAATGGCTATTAGCCAGGATGCAGGGATGCACCACCATGTTCTGAGTGTCCCTAGCCTCTGTTCACCAGAAGCTGGGAGTGTATGACAGGGAATGGATCACTTGATGATTGCCTGTTCTATTCATTCCCTCTGAAGCACCAGATACTGGTCTCTGTCAGAAGACAGGATACTGGGCTAGATGGACTACTGGTCTGACCCCATATGCCCGTTCTTATGTCTTTGCATTTGATTCCTGAGAACTCAGCAGTCTCTCTGCAGGAGGTGTCATTTGAAGTGTACAAATATATATTGTGACAAAGTTCCTCCTCTATCTTGGTGGGTCCTGCACTTATTGGTGGATTTTCTTGCCTCAGAGATTCACCATGTGGGTTGGGGAACAGCCCAGCGACCTTCCCCTCTGGAAGAACCCACAGTCCAGGTCAATTGGGAGGTTTGGGGGGAACCCGGGCCTGCCCTCTACTCC